AAGGGGAGGGGCAGCTACACGCCGGTCACCCCAACCCCTTCCCGAGGACGTCATCATGGTGCAGCGTTTTTACATGCTGCTCTGGAAGAGGTGCAAAAGAGCCTCATGACGGCTCTTCAGGCACCCTTTTCGCTGCCTGTAAAAGGAGCAGTGTTTTGGTGCTCCTTTCCCGGGTGGTGAAAGGGAGGATCGGGGCCGGCGCTGCCTCGGCCTCGATCCTCCATTTTCTGGGGTGGCCCAGGGCCACCCATCTGCATCCCCACTAAGCTTGCAGATTTCTTCCAGTTCTTGCATAAACAGCAAAGTTATATATACATATATTTTAAAAAATCAGATTTTAAAAAGTGCTTAGTATGGCAATTCATTTACCTATTTCTCAGAAAATTGGCAGATGCAATCTCTCTAGTATATTTTAAAAGTTATCCATTTCTGAACAAGATAAAACAGAGAAGTCATAGCAAGTTTTGCATTTCTAGTAGTAATCAATGAGGGCACAAAGTTTGGAATTTCCATTTCTCAACCTAGTTGTGGGATCTGAGTCAAAATGGATTGGCTTCAAATGAGTCTGAGCCAGAGTAGGCCATTTTCTTAAACACAGTCAGGTGCTAAACTGAACCTTGTGGCCAATATCTATATTATGTAGCAAATTATACACTGTACTTTACATTGCCCAGCCCTACAACATCTTTTTGTTGTTGTTGTTGTGAACCCCAAAATTATAGTCCTCATAACTGAATACAACTGATTTCTTAACTATGCAGGAATGTTTAAGTATATCAAATAAAAGAATTGTGGATTGTGCACACATTATTTCTTGGTACTTGTCTCTGATAGTTACTCTCACTTTAAACTTTGAACATCATGATCTATGCATGCCTACTCAGAAATAAATATGACTGACTTCCATAGGGCTTAATTCCATGTATGTTTGTTTTCATAGAATTTCTTCCTTAAGTCATTCTTCAAAAGAAAAGAAAAATCCCCAAACAACTTGAGACAGGTTAACTATCACTGTACCTTTTACCACTTTGCCTTTTTCTCTATTTTATTTAATTCTTTAATACTAATTTATGACTTCAAGCAAGTTCAAATATCACACATTTTACTGTATCATTTTTACCAGCTGTCAAAGCTATGAATAGTAAATAGTAAATACATTAGCAAGAAATTTACCTTAAGAAAAGTAGGGAGAGCACTGTTCTAAAAGATAAATCAAACACAGAATAAGGAAAAACATTACCTTTCAAAGTCTTCTTGCTGTGTTTGGAATGGAGTAAGACTGAGCTCTCTGTAGACAACACTAGCATAACCCTTACTCTGAAAGAGTCCTTTTCATATTTCACACCAGGAGTATTTTCTCTCTTCAATGACATAAAAGCCTAGACAACACAGAGATATTATTGAGCACATTTTAGGTATGTGTGGTGAATGGTATGGCATTCTTGGTTAGTTTCATTGGGAACACCTAATTAATAATCAGATGTCAGAGGGATAAGTGATTTACAGATAGCATGTAGCAATGTTATCTGCAGTTTACCAGGCCACTAACAGCATAGGAAATGTATCAACATGTCTATTTGTAAGTCATTGCATTCCAGAAAATGGACTCAGTTCAGTTTATTGCACAACAGCCAACCAACCTTTTCACATATAGATTTTAAAAATCTTTACCTTTACCTTTACAGATTAAACTTTTCCTTTATGTGCTTTCCAAGAAAATCACAATTTTGTTTATAAATATAGTATCTCCAATACCAACAATAGCAGGGTCAAAACAGCACATACTTAAGTCTAAATATAATGGGCACTTAGAAGAAAGTGAGTCAGCTTTTAGCAAAGAACAGGACCAGAGATTTTATCATTTACATTTCTTTGGTCAGAAAAGTAACTTGTTACATTAAGCATTATTCTTCCCCTTCTGGAGCTGAATACTATTAGGCATCTCCCCAATGTCCACAATATGCATCCTTGAAAAATGTACTCTGGGCACAACCAACAAGAACAACAAAGGGGCATTGCAAGCCGGCCAAAAGGGCCGGCCTGGGGCTGGAGTTGGGGTGCCAACACTGTCCTGATGCCACATGGCCGTTTGCACAGCATGTGGTGTCAGGACGCCCTCCCGGCCCAGCTTGTAGACACACTATGCCAAAAGGGCACAGAACAGCCGCAGCACCAGCTCTTAGGGCAGCCTTTTGCTGCTCCTAAAAAGAGAAGCATTTTGCCTCTCATTTAGGGGCAGCAAAAGGAAGGATCGGGGCCACGACATGGAGTTGCTGGAGTCCCAATCCACCGCTAGCAGGGGTGGCCCAGTGCTGCCCATCTGCATACTCCAAAGAGAAAGGGGAAAGATCACATGGCAGGGTTCCCCCATTTTGACTTCAGCAGAAGTGATGGCAACAGCCAGGGTCTCACAACGAGTTGCTTGGCCAGTGAGGCTGCAATAGCGATGGCACCGAGGAGGATGGACCATTGGGAACATGTGGTGGGTATGCAGACACAGGGACAGCTAAGTCACTCCAGATTCAACCCAATCCATCTGTCCTCACATCCAACACACCCAGGTTCACTTCTGGAAACTCCAGAGTAAACAGCATTAAACCAGATTAACATCTTAAAGAAACAGATTCACTGCATGCAACATAAGGATTCATCACACAGGATACGTGTTGGAAGATTTTTGCATTCTCTTTCCCCCTCCTTAAATAGACAGGGATTTCCTTCATGCAAACTCTTTCCTATCTCTCTCATTCAAACTAACCATGTGACGTAGGTCACTCCCTCTTTGGGAATAACTGACTTTCTCTCAAGATTTTCAACTGAGCTGTTAGCCCTCCATCTTCCTGACTTCTCAATTTTCTTTGGAAAGATGGTGAGAGAAATATTTCTCTTTATCTCATTAGATTAGGATATAGCCTTTTATGTAAATATAGATTAAAGTCATTACTTTAAACTACAAACTATGTGTTTGTTGTTGTTGTTGTTGTTGTTGTTGTTGTTGTTGTTTTGAGTCAGTCTCAGTTCTTAGGGAAGCCACCATATATATTCAACTATAAGTTGACATTATGTATAAGTCAAGGGAAGGTTTTGGGGCCAAAATTATGGATTTTGATATGACCCATGGATAAATCCAGATTAATACCAGATTAAGATCAACTTCCCAAAGATCATTCATGGCACCGGCCCCCAAATTATGGAACAGCCTGCTGGAAGAGATCCGTCTTATTACCACGCTAGAAGCCTTTAAGAAGGCACTTAAGATGGAGCTCTTCTGGCGGGCCTATCGATCTGATCTCCCAAATTGAATTTAAGGTTAAAGAGTACTGTCTTATGTGGCCTGCCGATCGATCGAGGAAGTTGTTTCATTATCTAGGGCATATAAGGTATTAGATTTAGCACTGTTTTTATAGTATGGTTTGTTGATTTTATCCTTGTTATGTTTTTTATTGTATCCTTGTACATTGTTGTACATTTTATTATTGTACATTTTATTGTAAAATATAAATAAAATTTGTTATTATTATTATTATTATTATTATTATTATTATTATTATTATTATTATTATTAGTCAAGGGAATTGTAGTTTATTGTGGCACCAGAGCTCTTTGAGGCTCAATGTCTCAGAAAAAAATACAATTCCCATGATTCCCTAGCACTGAGCCAGGGCAGTTAAAGAGGACTCAATCTGCACTATTTCTAGCAGTCTGCAAAGGCCCATTGTTAGTCTGGTGTCAAATATGATCATTTGTGAACAGCTGTGTAAATAAAGCATTGTGTTGTTGTTTTTAAAAAGAAAGAAAAACATGCTACATTTTAACACCTTACATGCCTGAAATTATTCTAAAGGGATGAAAAATATTGTGAATGTGGAGGGGGGGTGTTGGGGGGAGAGGTGGCCTCATATTTAAGGTCTGTATAAATGTTCAAAAAGGGAAGCGTTATGGTTATGCTGAATAGACACATAATTAGCTGATAAGAAATAATTACTCTTATTGCATAGTTCTTTTTGTTGTTCACAGGTGGACACGTTGCCTGATTCATTATAAAATATTTGAACTTGTACATACAATAATACGTTGCAGTTACATTCCTACAGCGAGCATGCATTGAGAGACATTCATTTGAAAAGCAATTTCAAATGGTTGATTGTATCTTACCTACATATTTGCACTTATCTGTAATCATCATTATCACATGTATTCAGCAATCACGTGTGCAAGAATTGTGCCAGCTATTTGAACATATGTGGCCAAATACTTGCATTACTCATTGCACAGGTGCAAGGCTATTGTTTTGAAAACAATCTGCTATGTCTAAGAACCAAATAAAATTTTACTAATATTGTACTAATACAATAAAACAAGCCCATAAAAAGTACACCTAGGCCTAAGCCTAGCAAAATTCCTCACTGTTATTTTTTGTTGGCTAAATTTCTTTCAGCTGGCTATTACTCTCATCCATCTCAAAATTTGTCTTCAAGGGAGACTTCATACTAAATCACATTTGTCAAACAACAGTAAGCTTCATCCAAAGTGGCAGTTTAGAAGAATCTATTGTCAAGATTTTAAAATGAATTATGTTGTTACATTTTATTTTCTAGGATGGTTGAGACAACGCAGTGTTAAGGTCTAAAGTCTGTGAATCCAGAAATTCTCCCTTACATCTAAAATACTTGAAAGAGATGGTATCTCTATTCCAAACACAGACAAACTGGAGAGACAGTGGTGTTGTGAGCTAAAATGTCTAGTCAGGATTTCACTTTCTGACTCCTGGAAATGTATATGCCACCTTCGGTCCAATTTTGGGATAAAGGTAGCATAGAAATGAAATACATAAATACAGTCAAACCTCCGTGCCCACAGGGAATCCTTTCCAGATATGTATATGCAGGTGGTTGTTTTCCCCATATACTGAAGATGGCACCCTGTGCAACTGCCTTCAGTCACATAAATAAGATTACAGGAGCAATAAGTGTTTTTCCCTAGAAACCATGCTTCCGGGTGGCCAGCATGGTGTAATGGTTTGAGCATTAGACTGTGACTCTGAAGACCAGGATTTGAATCCTTGCTTGGTCATGTCAACCCACTGGGTGGCCTTGGGCAAGTCATACTCTCTCAGCCTCAGAAGATAGCAATGGCAAACCCACTCTGAAGAAACCTGCCAAGAAAACCCGATGATAGTTCACCTTATGGTTGCCATAAGTCAGGAATGACTTGAAGGCACACAACAACAACAAACTGTGCTCCTAAAAGTGTCTTTTTAATGCTTGGGATCAGAAGAGTGTGATCCAAGATCACTGACTGGCTTTTAAGGACAGCTTTTAACCAGTGATATATGTCACTGTCAAAAAGTAATACCAACAGGCGTGCTGGTGGCTCTAGCAAGATATTCAGAATTTGGTGAAAATTGATAGCCTTCTTTAATTACTTTATGGTAATTAGGAGATGCCCCCAATGTATACAACAATGTATACAAAAGTTTAAAAATATTAAATAGTAGAATCATAGCGTTTAAAGAGAATACATCTAGTCCAACCCTCTGCCATGCAGCAAATCACAATCAAAGCATCCCCAACAGATGGCCATCCAGCCTCTGTTTAAAGACCTCCAAAGAAGAAGACTTCACCACACTCCAAGGGAGAGTGTTCCACTGTCAAACAGCCCTTAAATTCAATGAAAACAATATTTTTAAAATATTAAAATGTAAAACACTTACAATTCTTAAATTGCACCATGCATATTAAAACTCAGGTACACTCCACCCCGGCCAGCCAAGGTTGAAGGCCTGTTTAAACAAGAAGGTCTTTGCCTACTGGTGAAAAGACAAGGCAGAGAGGACAGGTCAAACATCCCTAAGGAGGGAGTTCCAAAGCCTAGGAGCAGCCACCAAGAAGGCTCTCCCCTGCGTCCCCACTAACAGAGCCTAGGAAAGAAGTGGAATGGAAAGAAATGGAGAGAAAAGTCAAAACCAACAATTTGAACTGTGACCAGAGTAGCCACTTGTCATGGCACAGCTTCTCATGTGGCTGTTTACTTTTTTATTGTGCTTCATCAGTTTCAGATGGTCTACTGAATCAGCCTCTTCCATCTTCCTTGCCTTTGGACATGTAGCATCAAAAGATCAGCAAAAAAAAAAAGATCCATGTCTTGATATGCTTGGTCTCTCTAAGATGATGAAACCTGGACACTGAGGAGGCCAAAGCCCCACCTCGGTTGGGTCCCTGGGCCTGACAAGATGATCCTGAAATCCATAGTTCCTGATGTCACTCTAGTCACTCCAGGATCTTGTCCAGTTGAATTCAAAACCATAGCTTTACTGCTGGTGTCCATTCCCTGGCTTGGGCACCTAGGCCAGGGAAGTCCTCCCAGGTTCAGTCATTTCTCACTGAGGGACAGCAGACCAGGTTGCTTGTAGAAGTCACTGGACCTCTGGCTCCATTGTCATCAGTGGGTAAGGTAAGACTGGTTCAGGCCCAAGGGATGACCTCTGAGATTTATTTTGGCAAAGTAGAAGGTGCAGGACTAGTGGAAGTGAGTTGCTGTCCTGATATTATTGCTCTGGGTTCACAGGGATTCTTCCCTGAATACTGTAACCTGGTGAGTCACCCCCTAAGTGCCCAGCCTCTCCCTTGCCCTGTTGGACCTTGACAATCTGGCCTACCTGTGCCCATGCCTGGTCTCTGTTGTAATGCACTCCATTGGCAGAAGCCTATTCTTCTGCTTCTGAGAGTCCAAATCTCTTGTTGCTCAACCCACTCCCCATTCTGCTGCTCTTGAGCAGCACTGCTAGGGATCTAGCCTCTTGGTAGCTCCACTACAGGCTTTTGTGAAGTTAAAGTGGATGGGGTCACTGTGGTGATCTACGACACTCTACTAAAGACTATTTTATATGTGAATCCAGTTCATTGTTTATACATTGCACTTGGGAGTCAGTTACTCTCTTGTGTCTTTAAGTATAAAAAAGCCATGTAAGCATCTAATATTCACCTACTACTCTGATTTTTAACCTCTAACTATTTAGCATTTGAAGGGTTCTGAAGACCAGTGCTGGAGGCAGAAAGGCTACTGAGCATCGCTGTTCTGTCTGTTTGGCCCAACACATTGTATAAACCCTCAAAACTAGTACTGGGATGAATGGGTTTCCTTGTAAAGTAAAGTAAAGTAAAGTAAAGTAAAGTAAAGTAAAGTAAAGTAAAGGGTATCTTTATCACTAGCACCAGATCAACCCGCGCCACCAGCCCTTCAGTCTTAGTGGGTCCTGTATTGTACTATATTGAATACATAGGCAGATAGAGTGGCTGCATGTGTACTCCACTGAGCTCTTCCTCCCTTATGTTATGTATACCAGATCAGTCCAAGTTGTGGATGATGGTTGTTTTATTGTGGGTGATGGTTGTTTTATTGTGGGAGTACAGTGGAATTTACCTACAGACCAGAAGGTGGGCTGACAGCTCAACATGGATCTTGGAGCAGGAGAGGACTTAAACAGAAGATAGGTTTCAAATATCTCACCCTTCTCTTAGATGGGCACCTCCAAGTCCTAGAGTCATATATATCTGTCTAAGATTATACTAGTTGCGGACCCTGTTAATCTCCATTTCTTAATCACGTAGACAGGTTTCGCAAACATACAATAGTCAAAACAGATAGCAGCAAGGTACCAGTGAAGCAAATTAACCAAAGTAGAGAAGTTATAACTTTGATAGGGCATTCCTCAGCCCCTATCTAACACAAAGTTCACATTCCTGTCTCAGATTTTTGATTTTCAGTGAGGGAGGTAACCTTAACAGAGTCAGTCCTCACTCCCATTATATGTGAAACTGTTTCACTAGATCTTGCCTCCCATTCAGGTTTTGTGTTTGCACTCCACCCACCATTCTTAGTCTCTCCAGTGTGGCATCCTGCTACCAGTGGCTGTCTCTGACTTTACATCCTTCACCACCCAGAAACATGAAGGTCCTGGGATATCCTTCAGCACTCAGTCTTGGTGGTTCTAGAGCAGCCAGGATAAAACTCAATCCAATAGAGAAACAGCATCTCTGTGGAAGTAAGGCCAGTAGAAACCAGCTTCCTGCTCCACTGACTCAGCTACAAACATGTCAGACTTGAGCAAATTCAGGAACTTTGTGTAAACTTTGTGTATCAATAAGTCCAGTGCATTAAACCAACAAAAGAGTTTATTGAGAACACATAGTCAGAAATTCACCAGTCAGCATTTAAGCCAGAACTGCCCCTCCAAGCCAAATGATATCTTAAAACCCCAAAACCTGTAAACTGCTCCCAACACCCTTGGTGCCAAATCCAGCACCCACCTTCAATTCTCATGTCTATTTCCCCCCTCAAGCCAGCCCCCCTTTTCCAAACCGTCTCATCAGCGCTATCTCTCTTCAGCACAGGCATTCCACCCAACACCCCTCCTTTCAGTTACATCCAGACAACAACTCTCTATATCCCACAGCTTACACATTCCAATGGCCCAACTTTCTCAAAACTATCTTAGCCCACTACAATTATTCCCAACATCCCATACCAGCTAACCCATTTGCTCTTACCACTAGCTTACCCACAATCCCCTTCTATCTATAACCTATATAGTAACTATAACATTAAAATCAACAGCAATAAAAACCTGACAGAAACCATGCACGCAGGCATGGTTCTGACAGTTGGCAATCTGGCAATCTGGTTCCTATTATTAGGTGTCCAGGGCTTGCAATGTAGTGCAATGGAACCACTTCTACTGAAACCAGGAGGACATGAGTATAAATGCTATAGAAATTTTTATTTTTTATCTACTATCTCATTACATTCTATACATAATGCATTCAGATTTCAGGGTTGATGGGAAAATATTATTCAGATCTATGCAATACCACTACTGTGAGCCAAATCAACTTTAATACTGTGATCCTGTATACAGTTCTTTAAAACACAATGTATTAAACTGATGAGCTTTAGTTCTGAGTGAACATATGTAAATTAGTCATGCTGTATTTATAAGTTGTTTTGCAGTGCAGCACCAATATAATGGAAAGATGAGGAGGGAAACTATGAAACTTCATTCTACACAGTGAAATCTATAGCTAAAATGGGAGTTTCATATGGTAGCAGTAATAGCTCATGTGTTGCACAGAACAGACAAGGAGATGGCTTGCTAGTCATTCTCCGCATAAGATGTACTGTTCAGAACATTAAGAAACAAAAGAACAGTTCCATAAGTTAACCTTCAGGGCTGCAGAAACACATATACAATCAAATCAGCACAAGTTACTTCAATCATAATAGTAAACAGGTATCATATAATATCAAACTAGCGCTAAGGAAAGAAACAAGGACAAAAGCAAAACACTAACCAATAGAAGTAAATTGTATATATAAAATCAAAACAAAGGTGTGTGTTATATATTTATTTTGATCATTGATAAAACATGCCATAAATGCAGTTAACATCTGTTCTGATATGCTTGTGCTGATAAATGCCTTTTAAACTATTAGAAAATAATGCCACTGATTTACAACTTAAACAAATCAAAACAAAACAGCACATGAGATGGTAAACACAGAACTTGTCCAAAGTCTTTAATTAATTTATGCCCCATTTTCCCCATATTCCCCAAGAGAACATGTAGGCCATTTGGCTCGATTCTCTCTTTTTAAAAGGTATATTGCAAAATGGCCTAATGGGAGTCAAAAAGTAGCTGTGGGAGTCACTTTTGGCCAAAATTTTGTTTTAGACCATTTTAAAGATTTATGGGTGTTTGGTATGATAGGGTGCAGCAGGGTGTGTGTGATCGTCCATGTCTATAGACCACCAATTCAATCTATCAACCCCTGGCAATTGCTCTGCACAGACAATTGGAAATTCACAAGGGAGGGAAGGGGCTGTGCTTATTCGACCCACATTTCTTATGTCATTGTTGCTCCTTCCATCATATATCTGCTCGCTTTATCTCTCTCCTGCCTAATTTCTGAATTCCTGGTGGTTCATAAATAATTCAATACTTAATTTAATGACTTTTTAAATAATTCAGTGACTTGACAGTATTTTAAAAATACCTTCAATTTATAATAATAAT